GTCAAATGACTTCGCAATTCTCCGTGGTCCACAAGCATCCGAATCCTCACCTACAATCGCAAGAAAAAGGTTTTAAAATTTCTTTCAAATCGTGGTTCTTCGAAAAAACCCGCGAGTCATAAAAAATACAAGGAAAACTCCACAGGAACCGAAAGAGAAGTGAATATGGTACAGCACATACAGAAGCATAACTAGTCTTGGAATACCGGAATTTCGAACGATACAGTATGTCAAGAATACTCGAGTAGTTATGCCCATCTCTCCGCTTTTCTCACGAGATCCGGCGAAACTATGTCAAAAAATGAATTGCACACTGGAAAGTATTCTTGAAAGTGAGAGAATCCATTGAAAAATAAAAATCAAAGAATTCTGGATATTGTGCAATCATTCAGATTCTACCCTGAACCCACATCCTCCAGCATCACAAGAACATGAACAGGAGAAACACAGGAGTGTGACTGAACTCAGCATGACTTTGTGTAAAATTAACGAGCATAAAATGATAAATTTTACTTCAATTGACGCCTACAGACACTAAATCAATTCCTGTAAGTATAAAAATTAAGAAGTCAACACGATACTTATATATTAAAATATCCCCGCACGGTAACAATCATCTTCATCCACAATACTGTTAAGAATTCACTGGAAAAAAAGACGTTAACAGTAACAGGCACATATTTGTCTGAGAAATATTTGAACGATACTGGCAGCGAATTCAGTGCGGAGTTATATTGATTTCAAGAATACAGTATTCAGAATACAGTAATGAGAGTCTTGCTGATTCTATGCATGCTTCAGTCACCAGTCTAATATCTTTAAAAAATACCGAAATAATTCAGGATTATATTTCTTGCAAGCATGAAAACACAATTTTGATGCTTCATTCAACTGAATTCCGGACACCACCATTGTATTGTTATGCAGTACAACCTCTCCAAGTCGAATTTCAAAGAAACAGCAAAAACATTTTGACTTGGGACAGGTTTCGAGTTGGGAAGCAAGCATTTTTGTTGTGGAAAACATAGAATAATTGCAGGCAATTGTAATTGGTAACATTCTGTACCTTGAACAGCTTCTTGAATGAGTTGACAGAATGCCGCACTTGCGAGCAAGGGTTCATTTGCCAAATTAGCCTTTCACTTCCTTTCAGAACATATCAAATTTATTTTTTCATTGCTCTTCTCTTTTGTTTGTCAAGAAAATAACAGCGAAGAGGCCTCAAAAATTCAAATTACGGAGGTTTGAGAGGAAAAAACTTGCGAGTTGGAGAGGTTTTTAATGCATTGTTTCTAAGGAAATTCAGGCGGGGACTTGAAAAAATGCGAATTATCCAGATTCAACTGTATCAAAATTGTATTTTATTTTCTTTATCAGAACCCATCCTAAACTTCAGCTGCGGATCCGAGAATAACCTATTTGCTATCGAATACTGCGTTGAAAAAGACAAACATTCGCATTGTTTTGGGTCAACTGAACGACAAAAATGCCTTATACAGTACAATATCACATTGAATATGGCCACACCAACTGAAGCAAGCCTATTTTTCCTGACGTTTGTTCAACAAACTTTCAACGAGAAATAACAAGGATGACCGGAAAAGTCTTTCCGGTCAAATGCAGTATTGTCATACATTACTCACATTAGGCATGTTTCTAAACGGATGAGTGCGTTTCAAATGAGTCTGCCAACCAGGCAGTTTCTTGTACCACTGCGAGTCCTTCTTCTTGACATGTTCCACTCGTCCGCCAAAGCAATACGATTGAAAGTCGGGCACGTGCCCAATTTTTTCGTCAGGAATCGGCTCAGAGGGTTCAGCCAGCAAACGCGGGAATCCCAAACGATCCGGGTTTCTCTCCACCAGCAACAGTTTAGTTTCGTCAGACATTTCTTGATAGCTTTTCTAATAAAAATGGGATGCGAAAAAGGGTAAAGTATTCGAAACTGACACGAGAAATCCACGATGACATGTGATCACGAACCTGTCGAAGCAACCCCAGGAAAAACGCCTTCGTTAAATTCTGCACAGTCTTTCTCGCACAGGCTTCCTTTTTCGCGTGCAAATCTTTGATGCCTATGACTTCACAGATCGACTTGATCGCTCGATGACAGACTAAACCGAAGCCTTTCGGTGCTTTGTGCACGTTGATTCTGCTCTTCCCGAAGTTCGCATGGAAATCATGCAAAACTACGAACAAAACATCAAATCAGGACAGGTGAACTCCTCAGACTTTCAGAAAATGCCCCATAAAAATTCGGTATGGGAATTTCCCACGACTTTCTTTACGAAAACAACACAGAAAAATGAAGTGCGGGTACATCACAGAAAAGCACCCCGCCATTTGTTCCCACCGGTGTGCAAATGGCGCTGCCACAAAAATAGTCAGACACACAAGATAAAATCTACTACTCGTTTGGAGAAATTGGTTACAGAGAATCTACACAAACAGACGTGCGCAAAGAATATAGAGAATATTCGTAGATGTAATCATAGCAGAGAGATAATCTGCAGTAAGGCAAGATGACTGAGAAATTCGACTGTTCCAATTAAATTTTTTGAAAAATTATAACAGATGCTGAGCATGGTAATGCATACAATTCGGGATATGTTATGTTGTAGAACAGGAATGTTTCTGAAGATANTACATTCTTTGTGTTTAATTTTGAATTTTTACGGTTGATTTCCTTCATTTTACCTCAATTGTCTTTTCTGTAGGAACAAAGTGAATGATTTCCCATTGGTTACTATGTCTTAGATTGAAAATGAACCGGCCGCTGGAACGAATACGGTTTGTCCCTCAAGGACCCACTAATCGTATATTCAACGTCATTTTATACAGTACTGTAGTTGCTACTTTTTAATTTTTCGGGGCAACATTGTAAGCGGCCCCCGTTCGCATCTTCGCTCCATTTGGAAAATTTGAGAAAATCACTATTTCACTAGATCATTCGTATCATCATACTCAAGCCCAGCACACAGTATTTCTTAATAACCCACCAAGTGAAAGAGAAACCTCGCCAATTGTTTCCTAGTTTTTTGGAGCAAATTATTGCGCCAATAAAAATGAAAAAAATTGTGGCTAACCAGTATGATTCTCATGGCGCTCAACCCTCATCAATTTTTGGCCCGCACGATTTTTGGCCTTTCTTAAAGCGGCAGGAAGACTCGGAGCTCTGCCGAGCGCAAATCCTCCAAGACCATCTCCATTCCCAGTGACAACAAAAATGCTGTAGGAAAATTTCCTGCCCAAATTCCCCGTCATCGTGGAAACAGTCTTGCACTGAAAATGGGAGAATTTCCATCATTCAAAATATACCAAGTAAAAAGGATAAAGAAAAATCAGCTTACCTCAAGTACAACGGAGTCGAATCCTTCAAACGTCTCTGAAATTTTCCAAAAAAAAAACGCAACGAATCATTATGAAAGACCAAAGAACGCTATAATAACATGGATTTTTCATCGAAAAACCTGTTTCCGCACTGAACCTGTAATCACGTGCACATTCATCAACTTCGGCTTCCCGTCTGACATTCGCTTACAGTATTTAAAATTATGGATCTGGTCGATTTTACCCACGAATAGAGGATTCAATAATACACTCAAGATCACTTGCATTTTGAGAGATCAAATCTAGTAGAAATACGGCAGAAACAATCATCGGAAAAATATCATCACGAAAAACCCTGGTGTTTTGTCAATATTGCTCGCATAATTGACCAATTGAAGTGCAATCTTCGTAGCATTCTAATTCCCACAACTATTCACCAAGAAGATGGATTCTCTTTACGATCATGTTGTCTACAACCAATTTCTGGATGCAGAACATTTTTTGTGTCTCATATTTTTACGGACCTTGAATTTCGTTGTAGAGAGATTCCGAGTGTAATTGCTTCATGCACGAATTGAAAGCTCATTTTTTTCCAATCTGGCATACAAATACTTTTCCTTCAGACGGTCCAAAATCCGGTTACGGCTGATTATCGAAGCCCGCCAATTACCACTAGGTTCGAAGCGGTGTATGTCCAGAATATTTTGAAAAACAATTTAACGGGGGTTG